TCATTTCTGCAGATTGGAACTTCCAGAACAGATGGCTTGAAAATTTTGAAGAATCAGACTTGGACACTCTGTCTTAAAAGTCTATGAAATGCATTATTTAGTTACTGTAGTGAGAAAGTTGGTTCAGTGTGCAAGAAAACTTGAGAGATTAAAGTCCAGCCTTTTTTTGGTTATTCTACACATATTGCTTTATATGCCTTTTTAATTACACCTCTTTCTTTTAAGCAATTTCTGATTTTTTTTTCTTTTGATTTTCTTCTACAACAGTGTTTCTTTCCCTCTTCTTTGTTAAATCGTAAGTTCAATTTTGAAACATTTATTCTACATTCTGAGTTAAGATGATGAGTAAAATAGAATAACATATTTTATTTTGAAGCAAGATTTCTTAGCAATAGAATATTTGGAGAAATGAAATATGAATTGCACATGCTTCTGGGAATTTGATTGACTTTTAAAATACTGAAAAATGGAAAGAAGATGCATAGGAAAGTTGTACCTCCTTGTCTAGTTCTGCAGGCAGTGAAAATTATTGATGCTTGTCCTGCCCAGATTTTTGCTTTCCTTTTTTAAGATCTTGGGGCTGCTAATTTCTTACTGTTAGTGGCTTAAATGGAAAATATTCAGGTTAGGTTTTTTTTTTTTTTTTTTTTCTGGCCTCTGGGAAGAACTAAAATCCCTGTGTTTATAAATCAGACAGGAAAGGCAATTTGAGCATGACTGAGGCAGCCTTTTTTTTTCTTGCAGTCTACTAATAGTTATAGTCGAGGCAAATTACCTGGTATTAGGAGTAAGCTTTAGAGTGCATGGTAATGACAATGGTAATATTAGCTTGCTCTCAAATAGCAGCTCTTTTTTTGTGTGCTACTTTCTGAGAAAAAAATTAGGGAAAAAAAAGAGGATGACTGGCTAACCTAATGTATAATGATAATAAAATAAATGCTAATAAAAATGAAGAAGTACCCATTCAAGCATTCTAATCTTTATAGGATGTTAACATAATTGCATCTCTATCATAGTCTTTTAATACTTGAATCATCTACTTTCAGGAAGAGAAGTATTTATTGCAACACATTTGCAAGGAAAAATGGGAAGTTGATTTGGTCCTTTTTCATGTGTTTCACTCCCTTTGGAACAAGTATATTCCCAGCAAATCTTACACTTGACACAGCAGAAAATGTGGACTGAGCAACTTTTTCTAGTTAAAATCTCTCGAAGGTTTCTCTAAATAATGAGATTTACACATCACATTCAATTCATTAAACTAAAAATGTAAAAAATGTTCAAATGGGTCTTTTAGGTAACTGCCTGTCTGTTGTCTCCTGCTGCATTTGAATCCTTTGCAAGGAAAGGAAAAATTGCAAAGCATGTATTTTACAATGTAGCACGTGTCATAGCTATGAGCTGAGATGATCAGTTGTCCAAGATGTGCACAGGATTTATATCCCTATACTGAGAAACTTAAGTGAGAAAACTCTCAGAGAATACAAACTCTTCTATTTTGTTATTTTGTTTTGTTTTAGCTGTGCTGCTGTAGTCCAAGGCCACCTCCAAGGCTTTCCTTTCCCCAAGCTGAATGGCTGCAGGCACCTCATTATCATGACTTGTGTTGCTGTCTTCAGCATTTTAAAAAGTCTTTTTCTGTTTCTCCAGCAATAAGAATCTAGTCGTCTGCACTGCTGCTCTTAACCCTTTTAGAAAGAGTTTCTCTAAAACTCATCCATCAAGGGCCTCAGCATGGGCTGTACGTGCTCTTGCTGTAAAACATGCCCAACACCTAACTTGATGAGTACTTGGAGAAAACTGTAGTTGCTGGTGTGTACTGGCAGTTTCCTTAACCAGTGTACCAGCGTGGTTTCTCATCCTGGCATAAATGAAAGCATGTGGAGAAATATATAGAAAGTCACTTTGGTCTTACTTTCCTCTTCCATAGTGTCATTCCTTTCTGGTGCTTTAGACTATAAATTTCTTTAGATTCATCCTGACCCACATTTATCAGAGAGACTGATGAAGCTGTCCCTGCCCATTCGTACTCTCCAGAGTAGGACATGCTTTAGTCTGGCAGGCTGTTCTGTCTATTCTACTGTACAGCCCACCGCCCCATTCACTGTGCAGTCAGCCACACTTCTGAATTCTTGTAAATACTGCAGGAATTTATGTACTTCGTGCCGATTTATCCTTATCAGCAGACCACAATTTTTGTGTATCTGGCATAGAGGTTTAAGTTGTTGTGTATGGGTTAAGACCATGCTGCCAGCACGCTGCGTTGTTACCAGTCCAACTTGTTTAGTGGAAGGAATGCTGCCAAAGCCTACAAACGTGTAAAAACGAATAAACGAATAAAACCAATCATAGCCATCAGCCACAGTAGTTTTGCCAGTATTAATGCTTAATTTAATATTGATGTGGTCTTTTTGCCTTTTCTATTAAATGTAAGTACTTGGCTGTAGCTTAGGCTGGTGATGACTTTGGATTGACTTTCTCTGAAGCCTGAATTTTCTGTAGAGGACTCTGTTTTGAGGATGTCAATTCACAATCAGAGAGATTTTCACCACTTTGTAAGTGTCATAACATGGATGGCTGAATTCCATGTGGAAATCCTAAGCTGTTAGCTATTTGTTAGCTGAAGTATTAAAGAAAAACATCATGGACTTCATGCTGATTTGCTGTGCTGGGCCAAAGTTTGAACAGAACTGTTGTATATATAATTACATAATGAAAAGCAATTTTTGGAGAGGAGTAAAATGAAGAGAGTAAGTAAACATGCTTTGATGTGTAAGTGATTTTCAAATGGAGTCCACTTTTCTTGTTCAGATGTTAGGACAGCATATGTGAACAGGTTTGGTTTTTTGATATTTAATTTTTTAAAATTAATTTTTGGTGGGGGTATTTTTGTCACTAGTTGGAGGAAATCAAGTGCCAGGAAGTACTGTTACAACTCCCAGCTGATTTTTCTACCAGCTTTGGCATAAAACAAATAAGGAGTTACAGTAACAAGTTAGGACAACAGTTTGTGGCTCAGTGTTCTTTCGATACTTGAAGTAAGCATTAGTTTAGTAAGAAACTAATTCAATCCTGACCTGCAACATTTTTCTTTAAAGAATGAACTTATGACTTAATGAGAGGTTTTCAAATGTTCTTAATTTTTTTGAGTGGAGACAGGTAGGACATGTAGCATATTTCAGTAGATATGCATTCCATTATAAAGTGAATAAAGTGCTTAATCTGATTGACTGATTCCGTTTCCTTCAGAGAAACGAAACAAAACAATATCTAAATTGACATGCCTTCTTTCCAGCAGTTGGTATGCAATAAGATTTCCTCATCCTTTCGGTTTGAAACTAAGCATAAGCAGGTTCAGCCCAGGATTCACCTTTTCAGGAACTTAGTGGATACCCAACTCTTCAGGACTATGAAACAGTAACATATGTTGAATTCTTACTGAAATTTAGTAGTCAGAATGACAAAGATATGTCATGAAAATTTGTGTTGTCTCCTTCCCTCTGCTCCCATCAAACATTCGTAGTAGAATAAAGAAACTGCTAATCTTACTGAGATTAAAAAAGAAACAACAACAATAACTTTGTCTACCTTGTACTATGTTTTTTGCATGTACATCTTACAGAACATTTTGTTTTCCTGGTTTCCATGTGGTGGTTGTTCCCCATGTTGATGTTTTTGGTTCTATACCGGTGTATATGTGCAATTTAAAAAAGAAAAAAAAACAAAACAACAAAAAAACCCAACTTCATAGCTCCAGTTCTTGTAGTGACAACTTGAAATTCTGTAGCATCTCCTATTTCTGTTGTCTACAGAGCTGTGAGTATCTTGAATCAAATTGCTATTCTCTTAACTAGCTCTGAACTTCCATAGTTCTGCATTTGTAGAGTCCTTCAGTTTCATTGCTTATCCTCTGTGGTTTCTTCTTTAGTTTATGTAAGAGTATGCTGTTTATCACAGAATCATGGAATTGCCTGGGTTGAAAAGGACCGCAATGCTCATCTAGTTTCAACCCCCCTGCTATGTGCAGGGTCACCAACCACCAGACCAGGCTGTCCAGAGCCACATCCAGCCTGGCCTTGAATGCCTACAGCGATGGGGCATCCACAGCCTCCTTGGGCAACCTATTCCAGTGTGTCACCACCCTCTGTGTGGAAAACTTCCTCTTAATATCTAACCTAAACCTCCTCTGTCTCAGTTTAAGACCATTCCCCCTTGTCCTATCACTATCTACCCTCGTAAACAGCTGTTCCCCTTCTTGTTTATATGCTCCCTTCAAGTACTGGAAGGCCACAGTGAGGTCTCCTGGAGCCTTCTCTTCTCCAAGCTAAACAAGCTCAGTTCTGTCAACCTTTCCTCACAGGAGAGGTGCTCCAGCCCTCTGATCATCTTAGTCGCCCTCCTCTGCACCTGCGCTAAGAGCTCCGCATTCTTCCTGTACTGGGGGCCCCAGGCCTGGATGCAGTACTGCAGATGGAGCCTCACAAGAGCCGAGTAGAGGAGGACAATCACCTCCCTCTCCCTGCTGGCCACCCCTTTTTTAATGCAGCCCAGAGCACAGTTGGCTTTCTGGGCTGCAGGTGGACACTGCTGGCTCATGTCCAGCTTCTCGTCCACCAAGACCCCCAAGTCCTTCTCCTCAGGGCTGCTCTCATGGGGTTCTTTGCCCAGTCTGTATAAACACCTGGGATTGACTAGCCCAAGAGCAATACCTTGCACTTGGCCTCATTGAGCCTCATTAGGTTCTCATGTGCCCACCTCTCCAGCCTGTCCAAGTCTCTCTGGATGGCTTCTCTTCCCTCCAGTGTATTGACTGCACCGCTCAGCTCGGTGTCACCTGCAAACGTGCTGAGGGTTCGCTCAATGCCATCATCTGTGTCATTGATAAATGATTATTTATCAGTCCCTTACAACTCGTTTAAAATGGATGGACCAATCTATTCTATAGATTCTAAACTGAAGATTAAATTTATGGATATTTCAGCTTTTTTTATTTATTGCAGGTAATTAAAGTGTACAGTGAAGATGACAGTAGCAAAACTCTGGAAATCCCGAGTGATATAACAGCCAGGGATGTATGTCAGCTGTTGATATTGAAGAACCACTATATTGATGACCACAACTGGACACTGTTTGAAGAACTTACTCATACAGGCTTAGGTAAGACATTCTGTACAACAGTATGACAGTAAATGAAGTTGTTTTGTTGTTTTTTGTTTGTTTGGTTGTTTTTTTTTTTGTCACATAGAGTTGTAATTGTAATAAGCTTGATTAGAAAAAGAGATGAAAGAGCGTGTGTGAATTTGTTCTTGAGGAGGGGATGTTGTTTCTGTTTCCCTTATTTTTGATAGCATTTCAGTAAAGTGAGTTTTGTGACAGTAATCTTGTCTCACACTGCTTCATCTGCATCGGTAAGAGAGATTTGGAAGACAGTGGCCATTAAGATTCTCTTTGGAAATTCTTCCTTGTTCTTCCTTGCTTTTCTTTGGCAGTTCTTCCCCTTTCACTGGTATTTACTGCTTATCTCTAGCAGGAGTTGGGATATTTTTATTCCAAATAAAATATTTGTTATTCCCAGCATGTCTGAGTGAAATCTCTGACATCAAGGACAGAAAGTGGTCACTCTGTGCTATCCCTTTTGGACAGCTGAACTCAAGTCTTCACAAACAACATCAGAGAAGGCTATCTATTTTTTAGTGTAACCAGTTTTGCTAGATTTATTCTGACTTTGGGAGGGTCCAGGGAAAAAGCAAAACAAAACCACTCTTCTAAATTTACAGTTGCAGACCAGAGAACTGTGCTGAAGTGATTTTATGCTTAATATTCTAAATTGCTAGAAATGAAACTCCTTGAATTCCTTCCGCATCACCAGTGCTTTCCTAGAGAGGAAAATAAAAAAACAACCAACCTCTATGTGTATTGTGCAGACATACAATTTAAAGATTTAATACGTGGTTTCAGTTTATGACTATAATTTTAACTTCTGGTTTCTGTTCCTTCTCATATAGAATATATATAGAATAATTTTGCAGTATAAAGCACGTTAAGTCAAGTTAAATACAGAGAGAATAAGAATGATTGCAAAGATGTGAAAAATACAGGACACAGGAAAGCCTGTGCTCAGCAAAAGATGAATTAAAAAGCCTGCTAAAAAATGTATTATTAAATTGATACTCTAATCAGATGGTTGTACTTCCTTTCACAGTCCTACTGTTTGGGATTCTGTTGTGTTTGGTTTTTGATTGGAAATTACATCAGAAAAATCTAGCAAGATTCATGCCATAAAAACGCATATTTTGAATTTCCTATCAGTCAACATTTTCATACTAGTTTTAAGCTCTACCACTGTGCCAGAGTTACCAAAGCTTTTTCTGCAACCTCATAGGCAGACTCAGCAAATACTAGAGCAAGGAGAAGTTTGAGAAACAAGTCTATGGGAGACTTCCTGCATTTTAAAATATGTAGAGAAACTCCTTGGATGTTTTAATTCTCTGAAGAGAGCACTGATACCTGGTAACCACAGTACTGTCAATTCAAAATAAAAACACATAAATAAACTTTTAAGATAAGTTTTAAACATATTATTAAACTCTCTCACTGTGTATGTATCTAACAGAATCTGCATGAGTCTTCACTCATGCATTTGTGTAAAATAAACTTGGCTGTGAATCTCAAACTGTATTATGTTTAACAGTCATATTTTAAAGATGAACTATAGAAGCTGAAAGTGTTTTTTGCCCTTTTCTGCTCCTTTATCCTATCAAGACAGCCACAAACGCTTTCCTTTTTTTTTTTTTTTTTTTCGTGCTTTGTAACATTTCAAAGATATTTGTAACCTTTTGCACGGAATGCATCAGTTGTGAGATGCTTCCAGCTCAGAGTAGGGTCAGAGTTAAATCTGAATCGAGACTGTAAATGACTGACTGGTACAGAAGAGGGAGTATAAAAATGGCTTTAGACAGCACTGCTGTATAAATACTAGAAGTGTTTTTTGTAATTTATAGTGTGACTGCTGTCTAAGTAGTGTGTAGAACTATTGAAGAATTCGTTTTTGGCAAAGTATGCCAGAGTAATAGTGGCATTGTTTCTTGAGGTTTGTTTAATTGCAGAGTACGCTTTCCGTCAGAGAGCATGATTTGTTCAATCTGAATTATTTGCTGGGAGCTTTCAGTATCAAATTGTTATTTGTGGAGCTCTTGTGATAGCTGGCAATCAGGTGTGCAGACCTGCATTCACCAGGCAGTCCAGTTGCTTTGGGCGTAGGTTTACAAAGAAGTGAAGGGCTCATTTCTGAAGAAATTTTTTTTCCTAGATGGTGAGAATGGGAATTCAGCACTATTGGCCAAGGAGAGGAAAACCTGAGATACCTTTGCTGCTTTTTATAATACTGAATAATAATGGAATTATATTAATGACACAGATTTTTGTTTGAAGGGTTTTTTGTGTTGATCTTGATTTCCATTAAGCATGTCCTTAAGTACTGGATGAATAGTGTGATCAAATATTTATCAAATGGTGGTTTAGTTTTGAACTGTCTGCTATTTATTGTTCTATGGTAAGTTTGATCTGTGGAAACGTGGACAGACCTTTTCTGCTCCCAAGTTAAATGTATGTGTTTGGGTTTGGAAAAGAGAAATACTGTGAGCGAGTGTGTCAGTATAAATTCCAGTATGAAGAGATTAATAATTAATTCATCAATTAGCAAACATTTTCTTTAACGTGTAACATCTGTCTGAATGCTGTGGAATTAGATAGGATTGCGAGCTCAGCACAGCGTTCTGCTTTTAAACAAGACAGGCATTAATTACATTACTGCAGCCCGTCCTCATTTGTGCGCAGAGATATCTGCGTGTGAAGGTTAGAAGAGAAGGAAGAAAGTTACTCGCAGCAGAGACCACCGCCCCGCCGCTCGCGTGGAGGAGCCGGGGCCTCCGCAGCCCCGGGGCGTTGCGGTGCCGCCCTCCGCTGCCGCGCCTCTTCTGGCCGCCGGGTGGCGCCCGCGCTCCGCGCACCGCTGCTCCAGGGTGGGCGGCAGCCGGGCTGGGGTTCGGTGCCCGGGGAGCGGCCGTTGCTGTAGCGCTGTATATCGCGTGATTCGGGCGCGGCGCTCGGCGAGGTGGCCTGGTAGTCCAGGCGATGGAATTCAAAGGTGCTGTCTCCACCTCACCTGGGACTGATGGAAGCAGCTGGGGCGAGCCTTAGATGAGCCGTGTCGTAGCTAGAGACTCCGAATCCCTCCTCCATTGCCACAGGGCAGGCTGTGAAAAAAGAAAGCTGTTTCCATAGCTGTTTCTTTCTGTAAAGAGAATCCTCTTTACCCTGATATATTTTTTTCTTTTTCCAGTGAGAATGTTGTGAAAGTGAGCAATTTTCTTGCTTGTGGGAAGGCTTTTGGTTTCCCCAGATGGGAAATCACACAAAGCGTTACCTATGCAGTAGTCTGGAGCAAATGCATTTCCTGCTTTATTTTGCTTCTCTCACCACCTTCAGCTGGGTAGCTTGAGAGGGGACTGCTTGAAATTTGTTATGTTGTGCACTTCAGTATCGAATCTTTGTGCCTTCCTTAATTTACTTAACACAGTTAAGAAGGATCTTTGTAGCAGTTGGTTGTTGTATTACAGATAGTGATAATGAAGAGATAGCAGAGAGAAAGGAGAACACTCCTTGTGTCAGCTGGAAGAGAAAAAAATGATCTAACTAAACCAAAGTGCAGCTTCCTCATGGCAACGTTTAGTAATTTGATTGTGGGACTGTGTTTTGGGGTGTACTAGTTTAGTGTTTTGCTGCTTTTATCAAAATGAGTTCAATAAATTGTAAAATATTCTGTAATGTTATACCTTTAAAATAATAAAAAAAACCCAACAGCATCTTTACCCATCCATTGAGGTGATGCAGAATGTCTTATTTTTGTACCAAGAAGTAACTCTTGAGGAAATGGTATTTTCTTAAATGTCACAGTGCCAAGCATTCAAGAGTTTTAAATGTCATCCTAGATGAGAGCTTTCTCTGAAAAGAAAAAAATGTTCTTTTTATGTAAGGTCTTCAATTCTTTAGCGTCTCTTCCCCCTTGCAATTGAAGAACGTGTTTTGGAATAGAACAGCCTGTCCAAACTTTTAAAATACTCTGCTTAATTTCGGTATTTTGGGAGGGGAATTTTTGTGTTTTGTGAATTGCTGCATGATTTATTTGCTTCGTTTGATCTTTTTACAAAATGTAAGTTTCGTATAGGATTTTTAAACTCCATCTTTATGGGCTTAAAGAATGAGTTAAATTCAGTGGAAGTTTAACTTTTTTTCTGTTTGCTATGTAAATCAAATGTGTACTTTGTCTTCTGCTAGTAGTGTGCTTCATACTTTCATACTGAGGTAAAATTTACCTTTATGAGCATATTATCTCTAAACCTCCTGAAGAAACTTACAGATTTGCAGGCTACAGCAGGCTGCTACTTACCAGGCTCCTGAGTGAGGAAGCAGGAAGCAGTGACTGATGAAGGAGAAGGCAAGAGAAGATAGTAAAAGGATGCTGTAATTCAAAGAGACTTCGTTGTGTTTTGTTTTGTTGGTTTTTTTTTAATTAATTTTTGATATTTCAAATTTGAGGTTTGATTGTTTTTTTTTAAGGTTGCACATGCTGCATTTAATGAAAGTCAAACTCTTTTTGACTTTTTTGTTTAGCCTTTATTATTATGTTAATTTCATGTTATGCCAATTATGCTTAAAAACAAACAAACAACCAACAGCACAGTTTGCCTCCTACCCTAAGTTTTCTTTCACAATTTTTAGAAAGTTTGGAGCAACAGAGATCAGAATTCACTTAAAGTGTATCATAAATCTCTTATGATAATGAAATGAAGTCTGGGAAATGTGATCAGAAAATTGCGTGAGTTGCATGATTTTTATAATATATTTTAATTGCCTTTTCCCTTTGAATGTGTGATCAGAATTGGTTGTCAAAACTCCATAATTGGCAGGAAGGACTACGTTTTGTTCCTAGATCTACACTATGAGCAGTCTTATTGCATTACTCAGAGTATGCAGCCCTTAAACTTGCCCAGCACATCTACGGGAAAGTTCTTAGGCTGTGTCTTCCCTTAAATGCCTACGATACTGCTTTACAATTGAAAAATTCCATCAAGAATATGTGCTGCAGGAGCAGTCTAAAATAGTGAGAATACTGATTCTGACCTCCTATGCTTCTCCAATATGCTCATCAAGTACAAATAACTGAATTGTCTTTTCTTCCATTCCCTTTTATCTTCTGCTAAACCAAACTGCACATTTTAGGACTCACTTTGTAGACTTTAGATGTCTGTTTTGTTTTCCTTTTAGTTTTTCATGGCTTTTACCCTTTGCTTCTTGAATGCTAGTGCTACACCTGCTAAAGTTCTTAAAGTATCCTTGTTTTGTGCAAAAGCATTAAAATGTTGAAATGCCCTGTGTGCATCTGCAGTTTTAGAAATGCTTCAAAACATTGCATGGTCCAAGGAAGAAGGCATTTTTTCCATGTTATGCACAGTTTTCAACTTATGAATGCTGCATTAGAGGAAGGTGTCAGAAAGACATTTTTAATGCCCCCGGCAGGGTGGACAGAGATGAGTTGTTGAGATGATCCACTTCCTGCTGCCCTGGACAGCATGTGGCAGGAGCTGCTTGGGTTCTGTTGCATGGAACACGTGGATTGGTTAGCATAATGGTACTGACCCCATGTAAAAGAGCAACAAACCAATACAAACAAACAAGAAAAACAACCCCAATGTGAACTACCTCAAACGTTGAAGCTGGGCCCAATTCAGTGGGAGTGGAACAATAACTTGGTGTAACATGGACCTAATTAATGGACTGTGTTCAGATTACTTGTTTAATGTTTTGTAACATACGTTGTTTTAATTATCTGACCTCTGTGTTTTGATGTTGTGCTGTTGTGCTCTTAGGTGCAGATTATGTGCTGGATTAATATCTTTTTTTTTTTTTTTAAATAGAAAGAGCTATAGAAGACCATGAATTAGTGATGGAAGTCCAGTCAAGCTGGGGGATGGAAGAGGAAAGCAAATTTTATTTTAGAAAAAATTATGTCAAATATGAATTTTTTAAAAATCCCGTGGTAAGTCATCACATCTTGTATGTGAAGTGATTACTTGATGTTGCTGCAAAATCGCAGTTTCTGTTATGCACAGGTAGACTGTAAAGCTGTTAGTGTAATGTGAATCTAAAGGAGTGATATGGAAGATGTATAAAAAGCATAAGAATATATTGCGGTGTATGTAGCTGTTGGCCAGTAACATTATTGCAATTGTAAAATATGATTTATTTTTTTGAGGGAGGTGCGAAGCAGAGACATGGACTTGCTTGAGATTTGCAGACAGACCTATGACAAAGTGAGAATTTTTTGAAGTTTCCATCATGTGGCAACAAAATATAAAGTATAACATGAAGCAAAACAAGGAGGGGCATCTGTTGAAAAGATTATTTTATTTTTAAAGCAGAAATTGAACGTTATGGCCCAGCACCGCCCAATGGCAGCTTTTCTGAGCTGCTGCTAAATGGCAGCTGACACAAAAGGCCACGAGCAGCCATAACCTATTAGGAGTAAGTGAAAGTGAAGTGAAAGTTAGCGTTTGTTAGGAATGGAAAGGGAGCAGAGACAACTTGTAACTCAAAGATGTGGCAAAGGTTAATACTGTTGATTCATTCCTTGCTTGATGGCAAAGGCCGTGGAAGCAGTTCTGGCATAGAAGGAGAAACTCACCATCTGGTTACTCATATGCACAGTATATTTGTATCACTCCTAATGTTACCTCTTGCACAACCAGCTTGTTTCAGATGTCAAAGGGAGAAATAGCGAACAAGAATGAGAAGCTAAAAGGTGAAAAGTTGAAGGGAAGCTAAATTATGTAACTGAAAAGATAAATGTTGATGTGGCAAAATGTAGAAGAGATTTGAGGGCATTTTCTTGTTCCATGAGTGTTTCTCTAGACAAGTCATGTATTTCCATGTCAAACAGATACCAGTGTACTAGTGAAAAATTTTAAGCTTGAGTTAGTGTACAGTTAGAGAAGCTTTCAAAGAGTAAATATGTGTGTACCAGTGAACAGAACCTGCTGTGAAGCATGGCAAGCATGCAGCTGTGAATACGTCCAGCAGCTGTGCCTAATGGAAGCCTTTACTATTCACGTTGAGTTGTTCTGAGTGTACCTAGTGTAGCATTTCTTAGAAATGAGTTAATGTGAGTTAACCCTAGCAGTTGTTCAACTTTATTAAAAGTGAAAATCAGTGAACATTGGGAGGTCAAGGGAGTGTTAGCCTCAAAACCGTCCAAGAAAACTCTACTAGTAATGGTCAGTCTCTTCAGGTTCGTACCTACATGGTTATATTGAACCTCAGCACCTGTAGGTCTGTGCCATAAATTGCCACTGGTGCTTCCATTGATAATGAAATTGGCAGTTCCTTAAATGTGGAATTTCTAACCTTTCCATATTAGTGTAGTCACATTTCAGTATTGATTCTTATTCATATAATTCCAAATAGATAATTCAAAACAAAACCCAAAAAACATTAAAGGACTTGTTCTCTCTTAGCAGGAGTTATAACGTATTTTACTAAGATTCTAGTATAATAAAAATAATAGAAAACAGTGTTTTCTAGTATGTTGGTGTGTGTATCACTACTTTGTAGCATATTGAAGCCCCTGGTGAGTCTTACTTGTCAACAGCAGTAGAAGTTACTACTAGAAGAACACTGAAGGCTAGGTACTGCAATATGACTTGTACTGCTGTGTGAAACCCTCTTGTTTTTTCTCATATTTCTAAGTTACTCAGCAAATAAACATAGGCTGTCACAAATTTAGGAAGGATACTAAAGTAAGCTTTTTTTTTTTTTTTTTCATCCATAAGAGAAACAAAGTTTAATACTGATTTTTTTTATAAAACTTTGATACAAATTATTGTCATTGCAGAGCTTTTTTCCTGATCATATGATATCTTTTTCAAGTGAGACCAATGCAGCTGTAAAACACTCTGGGATATTACAGGTATGTAACCTTTAGAGGAGATGAACCATTATATTTTGGAATTCACAGTTGTCTATATTGGGTGAGCATATCTCTTTGTCACTGTAAGATCTGTTGGTAGCTTTTGTGTAACTCAAAACATAGTTAATGACTTATTTTCCTTATGAAATATGGAGTATATGTTCCAGACAGTTATTATATGACTATACTTGAGAATTGGCACCTTCTTTCAGAATCAGATAGCACAAAAATGGCTAAAATGCATTAAAGAAAAATGGTTAGTACCTATGTTGAGTTTTTCAGGTTAAACAGTTTTCTTGAAAGATTATAGTGCTGAAATAATTATCACGTACAGCAGCACAACACTAGAATACTGAGGAATTGGCAGTATGACACAAATGGATACAAAAAAGAGTTAAATGGTTGAACTTAATGAGTAGAAAATTTAGACTGACTAGTATGATTTGTTAGCTTGAAGGCTACTGTAACCTTACAAAAAAAAATGGTAGGTCACTCAGTGTTAGTCATCTTTTAAGTGGACACAAGATTTTAATTTACAGTGGGAATAATTTCACAGAATGACCATATCAGGGATCATCATCTTACTTCTGAAAGAGGGGAAAAATGAGTAATAAAGGTGGAAACATACACATCACTCTTGTTTGCTTGTCACTAGGAAATTTAATTAATAGAAGAACTTTCACTGGTCTTAAGACAACAACCCTGTGTGTGAGTTTTGGGGATAAAGAATGATTGGAAAGGCAACATAAGAAGAGATATTTTAAGGTAGAACTAAAAGTAATATGGAAATAGATATTTTTGTGCATCTATACAATACATTCTACCAGTAAATGAAAAACATTAAAGAACTAAATTTCAAGGCATTCTTCTATACTAAGTAGTTATCTCCTTATATATATGTTTGTTAAGATGTATCTATTTGCTAGCATTCTCTTATTTATGTATTAATGTATGCATGTATGTATTTAATACAAAATATTTTGTATTTATATATATATTATATATACTAATATATAAAAAGAGAATGCTAACAAATACCCAAATGTAGTTTAAAGAGTTCCACATAAAATGTAATTGATGCATACTGTTACATAAATCATGTTTATGAACTTAAATACAAATTTTATAACATCAGAAGATGCTGCTTATCTGATAAAAAATCGATTCACTTTTTCTGTTTACACAGCAAAAGGATGATGTAGTGTAAGGCAAGTATTTAATTTAGTCATCGAATCTTGTCCCCTTTATTGTGAGAATTTTTATTTCATTTCTTTTGCTTGCAAACAACCTCATATTTGAATATTTTAAGATGAAGCTGTTTGCCATTTATACCCTTGCACAGAACCTCTTTCAGCCCTCAGCACAGAACATATGTGATACATGGAAAATGTGCAAGGCTTGTGGATCAGATTGAGAATTGTTCTGAATACATATAGTTATATCCAATTTTGTTAAGTTTGACAAATTTCTTGTGATGCATTATCTGTTGCTATTTTATGTTGTATTGCGTGTTTAATTGCATTTGGCCTAACAAAACTTAGTAGACATAAATACTCAGATTTGTAGCTGCCATGCTTGTTTCAGCAGAGCTCTTCAGTTGATAGTTTACAGTGGGTTGCTATTTCCTTGGAAACTTTCGTTAAGACAAGTTAATGGTCCTGCATTATTATTTGTGATGTGCTTGGTCAGGTATCAAGAGAGACATTAATCTTAACAAATCAATGCTTACAAATGATTAAAAAATCACTTCTGATACTTTTATAGCTTTTTGTGGATTGACCTGTAAGCAAGTAAAATGTTTTTCAAGTATGATTTTCTTGACTTTCGTTGAAAGCAAAAGTGCACGTATTTTTGTCTCATGACTTTAAATCAGAATATCTAAATGGCATCAAAAAAAAAAAAGAAAGCAAAATGTCTACCTGCCTCCTCTCTATTTAGCATGTGCTAAATAAGATCATTAGTTCGGAAGTATGCCAAATATCTATGTGTAACAAGGCGGGGTTTTAATCTTGACTATAAAGATCTTTAGCCTTAAAAAGTAAAGAAGTATGTGATTATATTGCTTAGTGTGTGACCGTTCCATATGCATGTGTCTAGTTGTAGTTGCTTTGGGTTCTTTGGAATACATATTAAGTTATTTTTGCAAGTAGGATGCCTTAAAATAAAAATCAGAGCAATATGTAGATGTTAATCAGAGACTTCACTGACAATGGAATATTCTGTTATTTTTATGTGTTGAGATTTTTTTGTTTTGTGTGAGAATTAGTAATTCTCGTAAGTGGGCAATAAATTCATTCACTTGGTTTAATTAGATGTGAAACTTGTTGCATGTAATTTTAAATAGGACTTGTGGCTTGTTTAAAATGTGGTCTGCTTCTTGGAGCAGCTCTTGGATGTGCATTGAGATATACATTAGATCCTTTCAGATTCTTATTCAAGACAGAATTCCTAATGAATAGACAGCAGAACATAGATAGTGTTGACAGGACTGAGTTCTTCATTCTTAGCTGAAATTCTAACCTCACTGAAGTAAATAAATTTCTTCTGAAATTATTTTATGGGACCAAAATGATACATTTCTTTTGAGAGTAAAATTTCTCCAATTTTGTACTTTCAAATATCTTCAATTTTTACCATTTTTTTCGCCATGCAGGATGTCAGTCGCATTTAAATGCAGTGATGACACAACTTCATTATGGAAGGTTGTAGTTACTGGGGCATTTGTGGCTTTTCTTCTACTTTTACTTTAAGAATAGACCTATTCCTTCCTTCTTGATTGTTGAATACATGTGATTGTTATTCAAGTTCTGTAGTTAGACTTGAAGTTCGGAGTTCAAGACTCATATTGACCAATTTCATTACTTCTTTCTAATAGCTTTTTGTGCATAATGTAAGTACATTAGAGAGTTATTGTAGATAGCAGCTGTCCAAGCCATCTTCCAGGGCAATGAAAAAAAAAACTTTCACATGGTGTAGAATATATTAGAGAAAGTAGCATGTATGTTTCCTGAACAAATGTAAAACGTGAATGTTACGTATGGAAAAATTAAAGACAGAACAGAATTACAAAAGCAAATGCTCAGAATTTTGCGAAAGTTAGAATTACCAATACGGTCTTCCCCTTTTGCCCTTTCCTCTTATTCTTTCTCTATTTCCATCTCATTCTCCATATTCTTAGTTGTTTCCTTGTCTTCATGGGTTTAAGATCCAAGCTTTTTTTTTTTTAAGCCCTTTGCTGCAGCATGTCCCTCTTTTCCTGATCATTTTTTTTCTGACTCTGGTACAGTTTTCATACTGGAAGACCTCTGCAATGAATTACAGTCTTTTATCAGTTTCCAGACATATTCTAATCTGCACATTCCCTTTCGCCATCTTCCACGCTGTGCTTTGCTGGCCTTTCTCCCAGTCTAAACCCCTCAGAATGACTGAAGTTTAAAGGAGGCAATAATGCACGTCAGTATCAGTTCCTTACTTAGCGACCCTCACATTTATTAGCATGCTCAGAGGAAAATCCTGTGCCTTCCCAATAGCCTTGGACTAGGTCATGGACAACAGTCATTGCATTTTTGAAGAAATCAGTCATCAAATTAAATCACAATTCACAGAGCCTTAGGAAAATAACAGCTGCTCTGTTTAACTCTCAAAATTGTGTGTATCTGCTTGAGAAGCACAGACTTCTGTAAATATTGTTCTCTTCCCCCAGTGCAGCCATTCTTCCATTGACAAAGTTGAAGGCATTATTATTCAGTGTCCGAAAGCAGACAAACAGGCTGTGTCATTAAGAATGCAGCTTTTGATCTTTATTCTGTTCAAGTAACATCTAGTATTTTTTGCATTTTTTTGCTACTGCATTCGTTTAAGATAGTGGAATGTTTTTCCTGTTCCACTGGTTTTTGTTCTTTTTGCTTTCTTTTTTCTTTATTTTGTTTTGTTTGTTATTCAGGTTGGTTTTAAGTTTGTTGGTCGTAGAGCAAATCAAATAATAATCCAATCCTTGATGCTATCATATATTAGTATCTGAAAGACATGGTGACATTTGACACACCCCACACATCACACTATATATTTCACTGCATGAGAGTCCGGGCACAAACTTATTTCAGCGTGTTGTGTAACCAGTAATACTTGCCTGCAACATAACATCATTTAACTCTCCTAACAACTTCTACCTACATGAAAGACTTCCCAGATTTTTGGCCTATTTTGATTTTCTTTTTTCTGCATAAACAGCAATCTATTTCTCTCATAATAGACTTTAATCTTGTATGTGCTTCCATTAAAAAAATCAAAAGACTTTGATTTCTACTGTGTTTATTTTTACATATTTATCAAATATATTCAGTTCTCACTCTGAAATAAATTTTCCGCTCATTTCTTGTTACAGTTAATGGCATTTTCTGTCTCAGTTTTCAACTGTCTTAGAAAGAAAGATGGATATAGAATTGCCTTTTTCCTAGCAATATTGCTACCTTTGATAGCACTGATAGCACGGGTACAGAAGTGAATGTTGAAGCTGAGATTTGTATTATTCCTGCACTCTGGCCTGCTGCATAAGAAATGTGTTTTCCGTGATGGTGCTTCTGTTTGGAAGCTTTTATGACCGGAACTGTGGGGAAGATGCTCATGCAGACTGAGAGCAAAGCACTCATTTTCTCTTCTGCAATGATACTACAACCTAAAGAGATGCTCTTTTGATTTTATATATATTGACCATCTTAGAATATCCTAAATTTTCAGTTTGAATTTTGTTATGGAGTTAAAGGCTGTTCTGAAAAACTATTTTGTATTCACAATCATTGAATTTGTTAATACATGGCAAATGGGGAAATTGGGAAAATTAACAGATTGGAGCACTGAGAAGGACCTACTTGTCAGTATGGATGAAATAGCTTAAACTATATTTGTACATGGCTATGTGACAGCAGCACATGTAGATGGATGTACCTAGTCTTGTAATTTACTATTCATACAAATTGTGGTGAAACTCTCATAATGCATTCTCAGTTGTGGGCTAGATATTCTGGGTGCTCCCCTGTCACATGCAACCTGCCCTTATTACTGCATTCATAACAGCTGAATTTAATCATTTTGGGGTGTTGTACATGTTGTACTGACATGCATCTACTGCAAGGTAGGAAAACAATAAAAATGAAAGTAGCTTTGTTTATTTGATTTGGATGCCATTATTCAGTGGTGAAAAACTTGGTGTACTTCCAAAATCACATTTGCTTCATAATTTTGCTGCAGTTTGGTGCCAGCCAGGCTCTTGCCTGGAAATCTGTTGCTTCGTGTCATCAGCTTAGATTTTCTGGAGGTGGCAGCAGATAGGAGGAGCTCACAACAAGGAAAGCTGCAGATGTCAGCAGGAAAGCCCCTTGTCCTTGAAACCTAGATATTGTTTATGTTACTACAGGCCAGCTTGGGTCAAAATTCCTTGAAGAGAGTAGTAATAACATGAATTCCTTTGCATACATAGAATTTGAAAAGTTCTAGGTTAGTATGTTTGGGTGTGAGTCATAATTTTGGTTAGTTTTAATGGTTAAAGAGGAACAGAATTGAATATGTTAAATGGAATTAGAATACAGTTAACGCTGTTGACAAGTTTAGTAAGTGCTTTTGCAGATTGAATAGAATTCTATGCTTGGTCTTCACAATGTGACACCTGCATTGCTCTCTGACAGTGTCTGGCTAAAATGGCTAAGCAGAAGTCAGTGAATGTCTTGAGCAGAGACAGTGCATGAATTAGCTGCTCTTGGTGAATCAATTAACTTCTGTCTATCCATATCATTCTGACTTTCCAAGGAGGGTGCAAACCTGTGGTTTTGGAGGCAAAAGGGCTGATCCCCCTGAGACTTTAAACCCTTCCTATCTTGTTCCTGATGCAGATTTTTTCAGCCAAAAAGTCTCCTCCACATGACCTTGAATGCAGTAAATACCTGGTATGGCTCTTGGTACAACTAAAGCACCCACTTCAGCATCACACATGTTCCAGAGACTTCATGTTTCCTCCTCTTTTGAAAACTCACAACAACTGAGCTCACAACTCACTACTGTATCCTCCCAATGTGTGTGGATTTGTGATATAGATATTTTGTTTGCTGAATTAATTCTAATTTACATCAGTTCCATTTTCTGGTCTGTAACAGGCAGGGGAGGGTGAGGAGAGCTGTCATATTTTTTCCTTCTGTTGGTAGCATTGATTTGCAGTTTTATAAAAATAGGGTCTGAGATATGGGATCAGAACTTCTTACACTAGTTTTGCTGCTGAAGTTAACATATTGTGTAACTAATGTTCTCATTTCAAACCATATGTTCCATATAAATATGTAGTTTGCCTTTCATACCTTGGAATTATGTAACAGTCTTTATGTCTTAAATGAGAGGTACACTTAATGAGGTTAGATCCAATAACTGAATTACTATGGTGTAATAGTGGCTTCAGTGATATATTCCTCTTAGTCTTGCCTGAATATGTTAATGAAATAGCAAGAAGACTTCAGATAAAAAGAAATGCATGCCTGATATTTTCTTTCAGATGTTCCTAAGCTCCAGCACATATCCTGAGATTCATGGCTATTTACATGCAAAAGAGCAGGGAAAAAAATCATGGAAAAAATTATACTTTGTTTTGAGAAGATCTGGCCTTTATTTTTCCACTAAAGGTACATCTAAGGTAAGGCAAGGAAAAAAACAACAGAGGGAAGAACTCTCAATTTAGAGCACATCTGTATATATTTGTCATTTAATGCAGTATTTATTCAAATTTAAATTTTAACTTAATGTGATTAAAAAGGAAATCATATTTTATCTGTTGTAATTTGAAACAGAGATTGAGATACAGAATGGGAAAAGCTTTGTATCAGGAAAACATAGGGTTTTTGTTTTTTTTTTCTATTAAATTTATTTTGTTCTGGTAACATTTTTCCAATCAGTGAAATCGTTTTATAATAGTTAAAATTCTGGACTGTAAGTAGATGCTCTGAAAGCTGAACACAATACTTCAATGTGTAAATTAAACTAAAAACTATATTTGGAAGGATTTTAAGGGAAGATTTTTAGAGTCGTCAAATTTTTTATCATTGTTCAGTTTTCATTTGCTAGTTCAAACTTTTGATGGCAGAAATTAAGCCTGATTATGTCAAATAGGATGAGGGACACTTCTAGTACAGACCACTTAAAGCACATGCTTTTCACCGTTCTGAATTTTCTGTGTTATCCACCAGAGAGTATTAATTGAGCTACTTTTGCATCCCTCAACAATGTCTTTTTTTGGTTTTCTTTTTTTGTTTTTTTTTGTGTTTTTTTTTTTGCTTGACTTAATTACACTTATCTTGGATGATGGAGGTAACAGCTACAACTAATACTGAATGGTAATTATTACAGTGTGCTGTTTTTTCAAATTCTGAAAGTAGATTTTATTTTGGTGCTTGAAATGAATACTGTTCTCAAAATTTCCAACTTCTACTCTTACTGTGACTTGAATCTAGTAGATGTTTTCCCAGAAATCTAATAACTTTTACACTTTGTGTTTTCTTTCTCTCTGGAAGAATGAACTTTCTGATTAGTTTAAGGTATTTGTTCTCTGCATTAGGAAGTGAATTTTGAGTTGCGTCTTTCTAGATTTCATGAGACAGTGTCACGTTAAAACTGAGATATAAGTCCTTATTTTGGAACAAGATAACTACTGTACTATTCTGAGTTTCTTACCTGGAGAGGTTAGATGAAAATAGTCTAACTGTATTACATTGCTCTTCTTTATAGGAGCCAAGGCATCTGCAGTTTTTCTGTGAATTCAGCAATAGTGATATATACATGTCTTTGACAGGCAAAAAGATTTCTGGAGCACCAACAAGCTATGGATTCTGCTTTAAGGTACAAGCTTATCATTCTGATACATATTAAAGCAAGCCACAGTTTTTCGGTAAGCTTAAGTTTCTTTAAGGCTTTTGAAAACAATGTTCAGCTGTCTATTATAAAATAGGAGAATTAGTGGCTTTTATTTCAACAGGTATTATCTTCAAGATATGCATTAATGCTAAAAAAAAAAATGTGCTGTGGCCTTCTAGCCTAACAAATCAGGAGGAACCAGAGACCTGAAACAACTCTGTGCGGATGATGAACAAAGTAGGACCTGCTGGATGACAGCAATAAGGTTGTTTAAGGTAACTTTTCTGTGTGGAGTTAACTTCTTTCTTAAGTTTACTATGTGAAATTTTGATACTGTGAAGTAGAGAAATAACAATTATAGGTTCCTATGCAATAGCAATATCAATTTTGTACAACAGAAACTGAACTTTCAACAGACAGATAAAATTACTGGAATCACTGAAAGGAGGGAATGATATTGCTTGTTAACCTGGCTGTATTTAAAGACACTGTTGGTAATGGCAGACAAAACCAGAAGAATACATGAGATGTTTTTAAAATGTGTTTGTTGTGGAAAAAATAGGCACAGGTCAATTGGTGTATTAAATAAGCAGAATTTCATGTAGAATGTACATTTAGAAAAACTAAAGCAAAAACAGTGTTGTGTTTTTCGTTATCTTAACAGCATTTGTGCCTATTTTATAATGATAAAAAATCATGGAATCATAGCATTGCCTTTTACGTCTGGAAGAAAGTTTACTCAGTTTATGGTTCAAAATGCTAACCATATTGTTTTCTGTTTTTAGTATGGGATGCAGCTGTATCAGAATTACACACAACCCTATCAGGGTAGAAGTGGCTGCAGCCCTTTGAGTATGACACCTATGGTATGTCCCACAGTAGCTCCATGAGTAAATACATTGTTTCTGTAATCATGCTATTTTCAAGTGACTGTTGTCAGTTATACTAGTGACCTGATCCTGCAAATTTTAAATGTGTTTTGAGTGTGTGAAATCTTTAGGGTAGATGAGAGAGCTAATTAATTAATTTACTTATTTCATACAAGTTGGACAGTTCAGATGAGTTAGCAGGCTTTTCTCTTTTGTAGAATATTCAGTATTTGGGGAGTTTATTTGCTTATTATCACTGTCGAAGAGGATTTTAAAAAAGTAGCAGAACTGTAAATGCATTAAAAATGAATAAAGTGTTTAAGGTTACACATACTGTAAACGATGAATAAGGAAGCTTTAGAAACTTTTTCAGTATGTGGTAATACTTCTGTCTTTTTTTTTTTTTTTTTTTTTTCCCCCAAGTGGTTATTTATTTAAATAGGATTTAATCTGATGTAATACTGCCTGGAGCTCAGAGGAGTACCATAATTTGGCAAAACTGGATTTTGGAGGAATAGTAGTCTGTAGGCTGGTGATCTGTCTGTCTCCCCAGCCAGATAATTTGGGATTGGATTGTCCTTTTAAAACCTTGTCTTACTTATCCCAGCCACTTCATTTATTTATTTATTTATTTATTTATTTATTTATTTATTTATTTATTTATTTTTGAGTGATGTGTAGCACTTTATGCTTTTTATTGCTTAAATTGTGTAAAAATTGCTTGTTGCCAGGGTCCATTATGACAGTTTTGTTGGTGGATTTTTTTTTGTTTGTTTTTGAAGCTTTTAACGTAGTTCTTGCTGTTGAAACAGCTAAGATGTATATTTGCCTTTATGGGGATTCACAAAAATACTGTTTTCTAATACTGCTGATAAGCATGGCTTCAAAATTACACTTAGTATACTGACTGTATTTATACTGTCTGTTACAAAAAGCTAGTGATAGCCAGCTGCTACTTTCATAATGGGTCTGGAAGCCATTACTGATTGGTCTCCTCTTGCACAGCCACATGCAATATAGCTCATGTAGATTTTAAAACCAAATATATAAACAGGAGCAAGCATGGTACAATTTTTATACTTGACTATAATTTGTGAATTAAAGAGAAAATTTGATAAACTCAAGAATTAAGTGATCAAGCTGATGGACATATTTCATAAAGAAAGTATTTTCAGATTTCACAGTCCTCATTAATTTGTACCCATGCCAGCAGCAAGAAGTTCCCTTTTCTCTCCCACAGTCAGACACTCTGTTATTTTGCCCTGTTATTTTACTTTTGCTGAGTTCCTTGTGTGTATTTGACAACTTAATAATAGTTTCTTAACATGCGTAAGTAGAATTTATGTTAAAAGTATGTATTCATGTGTAAGTAGAATTTATGTATAAAAGTATGAATGAATACAGTACTGCAAATAAGATGGTTTGCCCTGCCAGACTGTGAAATCTAGTTTTGTGGCAGCGTATAGAGGTGTACCTGGAGTATAATGAGTTCTGCTGTTGTGGGAAACATTGCAGATACTTGAAACGCTGTTTATAAAACACAACACTTACTCAGAAGCTCTGTCTTAAAACATGCATCATTAATTAAAATAATAAAATAGGGAAACAAACTAGATCTGTTTTTCTCTTTTGCAGAGAAGTATTTCTGAAAATTCTTTAGTTGCAATGGATTTCTCAGGACACAGAAGCAGAATTATAGAAAATCCAACAGAAGCACTTTCAGTTGCAGTTGAAGAAGGATTAGCCTGGCGGGTATAAACATCTTTGTTTTAATCAGAATACTGTTTCTGATTTTAATTTATTTTTTTAACAAGAAGGTATTGAAATCATTTTTAATTCTCTCTCACACAGAGAAGAGGGTGCCTACGACTGAACTCACATTGTAGTCCTATTGCCATGTCTAACATGGGTATGTGTGAATTATTTCATTATAGAAAAAATGCAGCAGTTGTTTCAATAAAGGCAACATATATTTTAAAAATATCTTTATTCCTACAGCTATTCACAGATCTCAGTCATGGTTTCATCACAAAATCTCTAGAGATGAAGCTCAGAGACTTATTTTACAGCATGGGCTTGTAGATGGGTAAGCTAATTCTTTAAATAACTCTTCTGAGACATATTTCTAGCCAACAATTCTACTTTTTATTGTAGGAGGGAGATGGAGGAAGAAAGATTTTGCACTTACCTAATAGAAATAAAAATTCTTTTATATAGGGCTATCTGGGGATCAGTTGGTTTCTATTTTATGTCTTTTGGAAGCATTAAAGTGGTGATCTAACACTTCAGTTCTGTCACTGACAGATTACTTGTGTTCTCTCAGAGCCAAGCATCTGAGCTGTGTATTTGCACAATATTCTCTGTGACCTATCAACTTTGGCACTGGTGTCTTTTGTATCTCTTATTAGTGATGAAAGAGTGAAGGAAACTCAGAAAACTGCCTAACGTTATTCCAAAATGAACTATGTAGGGATACCCATTGGGTAGAGATCCTGCTATTCCTTAATGGTAAATAATAAATATTAGGGTAGGGCTAATCACTTCTATTTTTCTCTCATTTAAATATTCATTCAGAGAAAAATGACAGAATATATATTTCATTATTAAATCCTGATATTTTTCATTTCTGTATTTTTATTCCTACTCCTGTGTACATTTTGCACTCCCGTGTGAAATCGGGTCTCATTCATTCAGTGAGTGAATGAAACATTCTTGGAGCTATTTGCAGATAAGCCCTGTGATTTTGGTGAGAGTGATAATCCTGAGTGCTCTGCTTAGAACTGATTATAACATAGTGGTGTGAGCAGTCGTAACCTGGCGTACGTACTCATGAACTACAATGAAGACATAAATGCGCTGCAGTGTATGCTGGAAAAAAGTATTCAAGTTGAACCTTTTAAGGTGCTTAAAAGATAAAACTGATTCCAAGCAGAGATCTCCTATGTATGTGACATATACCATATATACCAACAAATAGACTGTTTATGTGGCTAAGAGAAGGTGAAAGGACTATTGTAGAAAGGAATAAAGATTTCAGTATTTGAAATAAATAAATGACAGTTACAGACTGCAAAAATCATATTCCTTTATAGCCCACCTTAATTCTTTTGGACCTACTCTTCAAATGTAGAAGAAACATTCCTTAAGGCGTTTATTTAGCAGCATTGCAGATTTTGAACTTTACCCCTTTACATTTAAAGTCTTTTCAGTGATAAGTGGTTGACAGGATTGCAAACTGATCAGCCCTCAATAGATGAGTGGGATAATAGCGTTTCCAAAAGGCCCACGACAAAATGCAATTGGTCATTCAGAAAATTCCTTTTGTATTTTTGAGAATGTTTTTGGAGTCATCCAGCACATTTTAAAAACTCCAACCAATATTTTTAAGCTTATGTGAACTACGGCCCTTTCTTCATAATAAAGTGATCTTATTAAAAGTTTCTTCAACTAAAATAGGTTAGTTTTTGTAGAGTTAGGAAAGAGTGAAGACCTTTTTATGTGAAGGGGAAAAATGTTGCACATCTTTTCTATTCCAGCAAACAAAATGACAGCAAAAATCCTAATCCACCTGCATTTTTTTATACATTTCGTGATTACTTTGCATAGTGTTTGATGTGAATCATGGTATTTTAATATAGAGAACTCAATTTGGATATTCAGAAAATGGCACATGCTTATCATTATTTTTTTTTTTTTCTGAATTAAAAACAAAGCCAATTCTTAGTGACAAACACATGGAAGATTGAAATTATGCTTTGTAAAAATAACTAAGTAAATAAAATTGATGTCCTGGAAAGGGGTGAAAAGCCACTAGATGGTGAGAAAGAGCTTATTAGGAGAGCCTGAAAATATTGAGAAATATTAATCGTTATCTTACCTTTGTATGGTGGGTTGGCAGTTATCCCTCCTTCATAACTGAATTAGTATCAACATTCTGAATTAGTCTGAATTTGATAGAAATGTTAATCATTATGAACTCAAAATTTCTTAATTTCATATATTTTCTTACCTTTGTTGTAAAAACAGAAGTCATAAAATATTTAGAATTTAAATAGTAGTACTCAGAAATTTGGATACAAGTTGTTATCCTGTGAAAGTGTACTGAAAGTTTTTGCTGTCTGCTTTTTTCTTCTGAAATCCCTTCTTTTCATACAGTTGTGCTCCCATTTCTGATACATGGTTGGGAAAAAGTGGGTGGCTAGCTCTCACTTGTTTGACATCTGCAGGTCTACATTGCCTGTTTCTTTTGCCTCCTGAAAAATGAGAATGGTTGCTCCTGTGACTGTCCCTTCATTTCTCTTCTTTGGTATATTTGTTAGCTATATTCAATCCAGACCTGCATAGTACAGGCAGTTCAAACTCTTTGCTACAAAGCTGTGAACCCAGGTATTTCCCTCTGCCCACCAAACTGTCCATCTCTGCTGGTAGTGCAAACTCTACAGTCCAGTGAGATTATATTCATCCTTTATCTGCACCAGATTACTCTACAAGGTTATGGCAAAGCTATGTATACAATCTGTCTGAAATCAAATAACTAGTTGCACTGACACTGTTGGCCATTGAGAGTGTTGTGATTTCAACAACGGTGCTATAAAATAGACTGTGAATTGGGAATTTTGACAGTGTACAGATATGAGTGTGCATTTATGAGTATGGGTAAGGTGAAAATCATTTTAGTAAGTCTTGCATTACCTTTTCCATAGACTTCCTGTTGAATAGTAACCTTTCAAATTTTCCTTTTAAAGTTTGAGATTTAGGTAACTGTCAGAGTCCAAGGAAAAATTTAATTCAAAGCACTTTGAGGGTGTTTTTCTGTCTGCAGAGTTGCACTGTAATTCTATGCAGTGTAAAAACAAATGCCTGCAGTGTCATTCATGCATATTATTCATGCACATAATACTCAAGGTGAAAAAGAATTTAAGAAAAAGTATTTTCAGTGACACTTTTTCAAAGGAATACTGATTAAAAGCATTTTTGTAATTAAGATTATTTCTGCTTCTCACAGTGTTTACTGTTTCAAAACTACTACAGTTTTAGAGGATGTTTAACAAAGCTTCAGAGTAATCTTAATCTGAAAATTTTCAAATCTTTTTTAGGGTGTTCTTGGTACGTGATAGCCAAAGTAATCCCAGAACATTTGTACTGTCATTGAGTCATGGATTAAAAATAAAGCATTTTCAAATTGTACCAGTAAGTAAAATTTTCAGTTTCCATTTACCATTATAAACCAATACAATCAAATAATTGTGCTACGTTTTTTTCCCCTCCATTTTGCTGCTTTAAAGTAGATATTGAATATACTAAACATAACAGCTGTATCACCTGAATCATAAATATTCTAGAGTTGAAAATTTATGGCCTTTGCAGTTGATTTGTTATAAATCATGACTATTATTATATAATCCTACATTTTGGTTTGCCTAATAAATATCTTAGAAAAATGCACAAATCTATTTGAGCTGTATTAGAAGCAACTGTGATTGCATGAAGACTGTATTTTAATAAAGATCATAATGACTTTTCTTCTCAGTCATTCATTTAGGTAGATTCCTTTGGCCTATATGTGTATTGCTGCCTCATCTGTCTAAACATTTGATTATTACGAAAATTTTTTTTCTAATCTCCTCTTTTCATGATTCATGTTATTGTAGTATAATTATGTCCATGTACTCTTAGGTAGGACAATTTTAACAAAAAATGTTGCTTACTTAGTCCAATTACTTACAGGTAACCTGAAATTTCTTCAGTTAAAGTCATATTTCCATCAGTTTTCACTGAGGATATCCAATTCTGTCTGAATGGACAGTCTTCCCCATCCTTTCCACTTCATCCCACTTCATCTTGAGGAGGTTTATAATGGAGGTTTCTTTTTTTTTTTTCTTTTTTTTTTTTTTCAGACTGCGTCTGTTAGGATGAGAAGCCTTTTAACATTATCTATTTTAGCCACAGATGCTTGGCATAATTGAGAATACTTGCAGCTTTTCTTCTATCTTGGCAAGAGCCTTTCTTCCAGACCAAATAATATTCTAGCTTACACATTTCCTCCTACTAAACTAAACTAATTTCTGGAAGATTCTGCTTTTTCTCAGTGGAAATCGGTGTAGTGTTTTGTGTTGTGGGATTGTTTGTTTTTTTTTTCTCCTGATCTGGTGATCAAATATGATCATTCAGAAAATTTCTGTATGCCTTACCTAGGGATTGTACCTGATATCCACCTCCTCCCCCAAAAAAAAGAAATCCTGTAAAATAAGACTGAAGCATTATTTGAAAGAGAAAAGAAGGGAATCAGTATCTGGTAAAATATAGTTGATTGGGATTTTTGTTGTGTTAATTACAAATAGTGCAGGAACCCTTCCTCCAAAGGTGATATCTATATCCTGGTTCCTGTGTGAGCATCAGCATATACTCAGTGATCAGAATCCTAGGTTTAAGGTCTCTGTTTCTATTGACTGTGATTGCTTCTACTATTTACTTTAGGATAACTGTTGTGTGGTTTAAAAACCCTTCTGAACTCTGTACAAATACTGTATGACACTACTTCATTGAGATGTCATTTAACTCTTAAGTTCAAGATACCACTTTTTCTTATCAGGAAACAGATATTCTTTTCTCGAAGAGCAGATGTGGCTGGAAGCTACCACAAACAGCAGTCTCTAAATGTATTTTTTTTCTTAGATTTTAGCTTAATTAAGACTAAAGTTATCCTGGAAAGGACGTATATCCCGTGAGTTCAAGTTTTCCCTACATTAACATCTACATCATATTGACATTAGTAATGTGCAACAAGTATTGCAGGAGGGTGGCAGGGAATTGATTGTAAATAGTTCAAAATGAATTTTTTGGGGAAATGTTTGGAATCGAATACTGTGAAAATTAGAGTATTTGATATCTTCAATGTATTCCTCAGTCCTAATACTCCAAGATGATAGAAATTCATTTCAGTTTAGTTTAACCTGAAATGAGCTATTCTGTAGTCCATGTTGAGGAAGACTTGTATCTATTTCCAGGAGTGTCCTTTTCTAATAAATACTCTCTCATTGCAGTCTTCCTAGCTTGCAGAAAATGTTAGGTTCCTGGGCAACATAAATTCAGTATGAACTTTTATTTTGAAAAAATACTGATTGCTTTCTTCAGAGATGTAGAAATTAACGTTAGGTTTGGGGTGTAATTTGGAGGAGGGAAAAAAAGCCTAAAAATGACATCCTGGACAACACACATCTGAAATGTCAACTTTTCCTTGTCTTCAGTGTGTTGGCAGAAAAATACCACGATAAGGGAAGTTCAGTGTATGATAATCCATTTTATGGTTTTGCCTGGAACACAGGAATTTATATATATGCGCACAGTCATAATTTCTTAACTAGCAGAGTTGGAATTAAATTGATCAAAGTTTGAGAATAGAGAAATTGCAAACTACTTCCAGATTTGGTAGAAAGGAGTAGAATAATCAGGAATCGCAAAACAGCTCAACAGCTGCTTCAAGTGAGAAAACTTAGTTGCAGGTAAGAGATAAGTACGTTTTCTCCCACTGTTCTCAAGTAGGATAGTTGCATCTTTCTGTAGCACAGCAAATATTGCTCTACACTAGCCATAGTTCAGAAAGCTCTGTTCATTACTCTCTTAATCTTCTAAAATATTTTAAAATTTTTTAAAAATCTTCTTTATTCCCTTCCTTATTTACATTAATGCTAATTAGTCACTATCACACTGAAGCTTCTTGATATTAGATGTATCAGCTTATGAGGAAACATTAAGAAAATGTATCACAGAATCACAGAATGGCCAGGGTTGGAAGGGACCTCAAGGATCATGAATCTCCAACCCTCCCCTCACAGGCAGGACTGCCAACCTCCACAATTATATTTATATTTATACATTCAGCAGTGCAATGCAAATTTTGCGAGAGCTAATGTTCAGTTAGCTGGTATAGGGAAATACAGATTTTAAACGTTGAAGATTTTGAATGTCAATAGGATTCTTTCTGAATGGAGATAAGGTTGAAAAGTATTAGGAAGTTGAAACTTGGTTTGTTGTGAAAACTGTATGTATATTAATTCTATCACTCCAAAGCAAAGGCATAAAATAATATTATCAATTCAAAGCGAGTATTCTGATGCTTATTAAACTATTCTTTGCTTTTAGGCGTGGATCTATCTTAGAAGAAAAGTTAAAGAATACATTATTTTTGTTGCTCTTGATCTTTTTGTCAGTGATCTCTTTCATTTTTCCTTCTTTCCATAGCTGTAAAATAATGAATTGGTCTACAAGAAGACTTCTCAAACAAGTACTTTAATCATGAAGAAATACCATATCAAAAGAGGATTTGATTCCATTTTGTTTTTCCATTTTTACAGTTGGAAGATGATGGGAAGCTGTTCTATACCCTTGATGATGGTCATACCAGATTTACAGATCTCATCCAGCTAGTGGAATTCTACCAACTTAATAAAGGAGTGCTACCTTGCAAGTTAAAACACTATTGTGCGCGAATTCCTCTTTAACCAAAGCATCTGTTGCTTCATCAAAGGAAAGGGAAGATACCAGAATACTTTTTCTCCTCAAGGCAGTTTGTGTAGTCAGAAGGGTAAAAATGTTACATTTAAAGGTTCAAAGTTTTAGCTACCAAAAAGTGTAAAGTACATTCAGTATAGATAAGAACTTTGTGATTGTCAAAGCAAAATAACTCCACGGTTTTAAAATATATATATTATTTCCTATGTAATTCTTTAGTGTTGTCTCGGACTTTTTTTCTTTTTTCCCAATGTAAAAGTTGTGTTTTTTTTTTTTTGTTTTTTTTTTGTTTTTGTTTGTTTGTTTTTTTGTTTTTTTTTTAATTATATTGTGTACCTTCTACCGAAATATAACTGAAGAGAAGTTCTTTGTTCTTAGGGGTTTTTTTTGTCTTTTCAAATGTTTCTTATAGTTTCTATTCATCACATAGAAAAAGAAAATTTACTGTGGTAAGGATAAGCTGAACTGCACATTTTACTTGTAAATAAAATGAGTAAATATTTTGCATTATATTTTTGAATTCTACTTTGAGGATTATCATTCAAAAAGCAAAAATCATTAAAATTACTTATAACTGGTTGGCTGTATTCAATTGTGCTATTATTTAAAAATTATTTTTGTCCAACCTAATGACTAGATTGACACCTTTATGCAAAGATGGAGCATTTTTTCCTTGGTAGTGACGTGTATAAATATGCATAAAGAGGTACACCTACAGTCTCTAACACATATACCCCTGTTAATTACTGTGGCTTGTTTTAGAGCTGAGAAGGGAATCAACTTCATTGGCCCTTAAAATGAACAAATAAAGGTGAATACAATTTTTTTTCTTTTTGCTGAAAAACTGTCAAGAATGTATTTGCAGTTGGTTCCTTGCTTATTTATTATTTATCACGAAATTACACATTTCAATGTAGCTACAAGTCAACCAATCTTGCCAGGTGTTCCAATTATAAAGATCTGTTAAGGTGGAGTGAAATTTTGAACCATAGCAGTAGAAATATTTTTAGTATCTGTATTTTGAAAAAGATGCAATACTTCTGCATCCTTGCACAAAGGCTTAAGTGGAGTGGAGCTTGAATTGAAAGATGTTCCCCTGTCCTGATGCTTTGTTATCCTATAGGTTTGATCTCATTATGAGGGTCCAAGACGTGGCCCTGAAGTAAAGCCTGTAATGGAAAGTAGTGCTTAGAGGTGGACCATCATGCTGAATCCTGGCCCTGTGCCCATTCCTGCTTTTGTTCTCCTATTGTCAGGCACGCCAGGTATTCTGCTGTAGGAGTTAGTGGGGAGGGAAAGTGAAGGAGGCCTGGCCGAGGGACAGAGCAGATGGACACAAGATACAGTAGTGCCAGTGCACATCAGCTGGTAGGGTTGTGTAAATGGTTGCATTAGAATATGATAGCTACAGTCTATGGTTTAGTTACTGTGTGCCTGTGGAAGGCAATCATAATAACATAATGCTGTGATACTTAATTTACTGACTTGATCCACACATCACTGACCTTTTCCTCTGATATGCAAATAGAGTTTTTAAAGCTCATTAAAAAAGCAACTCTTCATAATGTGTACCAAAGATGCAACATATGTGGTGTCTGAGCTCATTACATTAGAAATGCCTTGTAAAACTCTTCACAGACTAATAAATTTAACTCTTAAACCTTGAATATAATTTCAAATTGTAATTACAAAAATGTAGTTATAATTAAAACCTTTTCAGATTTATTTTAGCAACGGGATTTCTTCTGAGGCCTTGTATTCTTTCAGAAATTGGCATAGAATAAAGAGAATTGTTGCATTCCCATTTTTCTTATTATCTGACAAATGAAATGTGTTCTGTGGTCTGTCTGGACACGTGAAAGCTTTGCCATCATTTCCATTTGTATTTTCGTATTTGCCTGTACAACTGGTAGAGAAGTTAACCACTCAGTAAGTATGTATCTTTTCACCTTTAGAAAAGTGAATGTGAGGACTATTGAGAGACATCAACCATCAAGAATCCTTGCCTGCTTTCTTCTGTTTTCATGAGTGAAAAAAAACAAGACAAGTCAACACTTAAAATGCAGTATTGCTTAACAAGCATGGGTTTTGGACATTTGAAAGAGTTTTTAGCTGGCAAATATTCAAAGCACTGTTATCCTATAAAGTGTTGCCTCCTGCATTCTGGCAGGGCTTTTAATTAAAGTCTAAACTGAAATCTTGCTAAGAATAATATAAAACCTTTTTTTTTTTTTTTTTTTTTTTTTTTTTCACTAAAAAAAAATCTGCATACATTTTCTGAAATGTGTGGTTGTTTATGACTATACTGAAATAGTAAAACTAATGAAATCTAGGTTGGTGTATAAATGAGTTAACAGGCTACCTCTACGTTTCAGTATTACTGGTGAAAGCAGCATGGAAGAAGTAGTCTTATTGAAAAAGCAACAAACAAAAAAAAACCCACACTGAGATCCTGCAGTACTTGAAAACGTGCTAAATGGTACAGGTGGTTGATGTATGACTTACAAGATCTTTGCTAGCAAGCACTATTTTCTTGTCAGAAAAATGGCAAGTTTTTTATTATATCACTCAGTATATGTTTGACCATAAAGTTCTTTGAGGGTGTGGGCAACGCTGTTGAAATAGAATTTCAGTGTGGTACTGTGGCTTCTAATTAGAAAGAGTACACACTTCTTTGGTGCCCACCTTCACAAAGAAAATTGGCTAATCAGGAGTTGTTAACAGCAGGGTGAAATCAGTACTATTTTGGGCAGACTGGTCTGTCTGTCTCCACCAGCTAACTTCTCTGTAAGTATGGGAATTTTATGTCTACCTCCCAAAGGATTTAAAGACCTTTAAAAAAAAATATATATATATATATATATATATATATAATTGCAATTGATATTGTTTGGAAAGTTTTATTTTAATATACAAGAAAGATATATGTTTTTGTCTTTACTCTGGGGAGGTCAAAGTCTACAGGCTTAAACTAATTAGAGAAAAATCAATGTCAAACTAGGTTTGAAGCATCATGTTTGAAAAAACACTTCATAATTTCTTCAGATTTCAAAATTTAGACTTCTGCGTGTGTCTGTGTAGAGCAGTGCCAGGAGGGGAGCGGCTTGCCTTGCAGAAGTACCAGAAACAGTGTAACTGCATGCACATCTTTCTGTGTGGGGTAATTAGCCCTGCAGCGGTGCGTTCTGGAAGATGTGAGCTAGTTCAGATTGCTCTAAAGCATGGCATTGTATTTGTTGGCATGCCCTTTGTGCTTTAGCTTCCAATCTTAAAATCTTTTTGGCTCAAAGGAGATTAAAAGTTAATTCACTGGTGTTTCCTAATGTATATACACATACAGGCAGAATTAAGGTTCCATGGGCAGCATTAAATGACATTTTTAAACTTCTGAATGTTTTTACTTAACAATCTTATTAAGTCACTTAATGACTTTTTAGACATATAACAAGCCTTCAGTTCATCAAACCAAACGTTTTGAAAGAGAGCTTTAACCCGTTAAATAAAAGAGGATTACATATGTAACTAACTACAAGTGGGGCCTTTCAAGGACAATTGAATTTCTGTCAAATGTTGTCTGTTACATCCTGGTTACGGAATTGTAGTTTTTTGTGTTTCCCTGGGGGTAGAATTTCTCTGCAGTGTATGTGGGCTTGGAGCATCTTAATTTTAATGCACAAATCAGGTTATTTTAAAGGAATAAACTTTTTTTTTTTTTTTTTTGCTATGTTGTTTTTTAAGGTTAGTTGTCTTCATCTAAATAAAAGCCATTCCTTAATGCTTAACTGTTCATACACATAGCTTGCGAATCAGTTTACCATTTGTCACTAAGAAATCTCACATATTGCTTTATTTTAGAAGAATAAAAGCAGCATATAATTCACATATATTTTTCCTTGGTTAATAAAATAATATTTTATGACTGTTATGATATTTGAAACTGCTATTCTTTACCACAGTAGTGCATTTTGCTTCCAATTTCAATTTTGTAGCTGTAGATTTCACTGAAATCCTCAAATATGGGATATGCCCGATTACTTGAGCATACTTACAAGCTTTCAGAGGTTTAACACTTATGGTCTATGCATAATCAATGTGTATGATAGTGCAATTAATGTTAACTGTAATGAAGAGCATGAATATTTAAAACTTAATGAATCTGACTTTACACTGTGCTTTACAGCCCCATTCACACACGTGAACAGTGTTGACTGTTGGCCTCTGGATGTCAGCAGTGTATCACAAAATTCCAGTCATCAGCCACTGTTTTCCTGCTGCCTCCCAGAAATATCTGTGACTTGTGGTCTCTGCACACCTCCAGAACACCCAGTGCTTTTTCCTCTTATAAATTATTCACTTTCTCTGTACCAATTAGTTCTACCAGTTGCTAGGTTTGTTATCAAGTTAAGCTCCAAGACAAGAACCTGAACTCAATGAGTGATTAAAAATTTATTAGCAGAGATGATTAAATATGCAGATAGTCTGTGAAGCTTGTTCTTGAAACCATTACCTTTTTAATACTAATGATTTGTATAATTAATTTTAAAAAAGCCTGAAAGTCTTTTAGGACATAAAAGGAAAGAGATTAAACGCAGAGGAGGCAGTGAACCTGGGTATTAAAACAGCTCATTCACACGTATAGGCAATAAAGTGATTTCCTTACAGGGATAGTTTGTGCTTTTTTCCCCCTCTGCTAAGTTGATTATTTTATTAATCTTTCAAGCATTTTGGGAAAATTCGATCCACTAATGAGCTGCATTTTCAAAACAGAATTTTGTGACTAACACTGATAATAATCACCATTCCTCTATGCTTTAGAGTTAAAAAATGCAGTTTCTGTACCCAAATGGAGCTCCCACTGCATTTAGGCATATGCTCAATTTAGGCATGTGTGTGGCACTGGAGTTGCCATGGGAACCGCTCAGGTGCTCAGGTGAGGCCCAAGGTGTGGGAGCACAGGGCACAGAAGCAGCAAGCTGATGGGCAGCAGCATGAGGCAAAGTTAGCCAGAGAGGGCTGTGAGACGAGGCTGTTACAGCTGTGCTCAGGGCACATTTTGCACGTTAGGAACATTTTGCACGTTAGGCACATTTGGGGTGGGTAGCAGGAGGGTCCTTCTGGAGCCCGTGTGAGGGAGATGTGGCCAACAGGCTGGCTAGACTAGTGCTGGAGGACATGTTGGCTCCCCTCCTGTGGTGAAAATAAAATCAATCACTTTATTTCCCATTAAGGGAGTAACTAGAGAAGTGAGGTGGTGGCCCTCGGGGACTGTTTTTTTCTTTCCTGAGGGAAAAGAGTCCCAGTAGCACAGCAGCTGTGGTGAGGGAGCTGTGGTGGATTTGCCCAGCTGTGGGCTTTGAGGGAGCCCCATGGCGGGAGCCAGACAGTGCTGCTGGCTTTGTGAGGCCTGCCAGCATGTGCTAGTCTGTGGTCACATGCAATATATTAGATTGTAGTAACCTTGTGAGACAGGATGGAATGTGACAAGACCTCTCTGCAGGCCAGGGCTGTGAGCTGTGGCCCTTGTGGACTGCTACCTGTGTGATAGGTAAGAGCAGCCCTGTGGGCCCTTAGTCCCATTCCTAGGGGAGCAAGTGGAGCTCTTGGCTAGGGGGAGGGAGCACTGAAGCTGCTGGTGGCCTAATGTTTTTCTCCCTCTTTCCTTTCAGCTCTGCTTATTCACTGACCAGCACAGCCCCACTGAAGAGTGTGTCTGAGGGATGCTGCTGTGGATGAGGTGTGATCTAAGGTAAGGCTTTGTCTCCAGCATTTTCTGGGGATCCCTCTTTCGGTGGGCCTTGAGGAAAAGGGGCTCTGAACAGCCTAGGAGCTGCTAGTGGCACCTGTTTTCTCCTGGAAATCATGGAGTGACCCATCAGCTGGCATTGATGAGCTGCAGGTGCTGGAGGCTAGCAGAACTGGAAAGTCTGCCTCTAATAGGGGTCTGTGATTGGGGTGGAAAGGAGATGTGAAGGTGGTGTGTGTCAACTGGAGCAGCATAAACAGTAAGTGATGTTATTTTTTTATTTATTTTTTTATTTTTTATTTTTTTTTCCTCTCACAAAGGTTGGTTGGCTTTAGGGTGTTTTTGTGGAAATTATGAAGAGAGGTTGATACACACCTTGTGTGCCATGCTTTTTTTTTTTTTTTTCCTTGTTCTGTTTATAAATTATAGTGTCTTTATTTTCAGATATTAAGCTATGGTTAGTGTGATTTAGGCTTCCATTATGGCAACTAATGTTACCAGACCTGACTGAATTAGACAGCAGAACTGGAGCAGAGCCTTTTGTAGAGAGGGTCTCAAGGCAGATATTTGTATTGCTGTCACCATTGAATTTGTATAGCTAGGATCTTGCAGCAGAGAATATGTCCAAGTAAAAACACTAATTTTTTTATCCAAATGTCGTGCCTTTTGGTGGCTTGAAACTAGACTGTGACCTAGGAACTTCCTTATCAGATCACAGTCCTGGAGGCATTTCTCTAGTCCTAGGGAAGATGTGTCAAGTCAGATATACAGCTTTCTTTTTTTGCTTTTTTCTCGCTCTGAGCTAAGTTGAAGCGCCACTTTACACAAATTTAGTTCAGCCTTCCCTTTTATGCCAGCTACCTAGTTGGGAAAAGAGAAAGGGCATAGCAAACAACATTCCTTAGAGTAAGCAAGTTGGTAGAAAAAAACTGAGAGGACAGTGAATGAGATTCTTCCTATTCTTCCTTCTCTCTTTCTTTTTGCTGAAGCCGAGTATGTGAGTGAGTCCTTATTGTGACTTTCCTGAATATGGGGTAGGTTGAAGTGCTCCCAAATAGAATCAGGGGTTTGGACTGGGTTTTTTTTGTTGTTGTTGTTGTTTTTAGTGCTAACAGAAAATTTCTGATGTGGAAAAAAAATCTTAAAATAAAGAAAAGGAACTAATTATTTCAAATGGTTCTTACCACGCTATAGGATGCAGTTGGGAGAACATACACAAAGATTTCAGACTTTATTTATTTACTGAAAAAATGTATTTGTTAAATTTTAGAGAATTCTGCAATTGCCACAATATCTGCAGTGTATGCTATATATTTATGAGAGAAATCATGGAAACATATCTTCTGATGATGGATGTGAGGTCAGCTATTCAAACTAAAATACTCTTTCCTCAGTTACATGATATAGGGCTGCGGTGCTCAGACCATATGCAGAATTAGCTATTTTTAGGCATTTAAGGAAAATGTAAAGGAGGTGATGTGTGTAGGAGAGTGGAAGGGTAAGTTAATTTTAAAAGATATTAACATTTGGAACAAGATATATGTCATCAGAGTGATTTTTTTATTTTATTTTTTTCCTAACATATGCATATAACATACAAAGGGGTTCACTTGTGTGCTGAACAATTAATGAAGTCCTTACTCCTGAAAGGATGCATGTGCTTGTTTGTGTGCTGTATATAATGTAAAGGATTTCAATATGCTCAAGATAATGTGTAAGTGTTGTCAGGATCAAAGATGTCAAAAATAACTTGGAGGGCTTCAGGAAATTCAGGAAGTGTAATAAGGTGATGCTTCACTTGGTTCTGAAGTAGAAATTGTAGCTGATATTACATTTAATGATGGACTGTGGTCACTGGGTTCACTATGACTGAATAATACCAATATTTCGAGGTAAATGAGGAGAATTGTATGAAGTTGAACTGAAAGTTAGGGGTGCTTTTCCTCTTCTGTACTTGTACACTGATATTATGATTTGCATCTATTATCCTGTATTGTGTGATTAAGAGGGGAAAAAAACGCGCGTGCACACACACAAACCAGTCACCTTCCCAGCATTTTAAAGAACAAACCATCCTTCTCCTAAGAAAATAGTTTAAAACAAACAAACAAACAAACAAAAAAAACCCAACAACAACAAAACCCAACTTGCATGGTGGAGGGAGGGGTTGGGGAGAGACGGAAGCAGCAAGCAGCACCAAAGTCTTTACAGGAACAGATTTGCATTAGGAATCTATATTTGAAAATGCCCTTGGCCTTGTGAAAATATAATATGTATGATACTTCTGAATAAGAAGTTCTTCATTGCTCAGCACTGTAGAGTTAGGAACTGAAAGGCATTGTGGGAGTGATCTGATTGTCTCTTTGTCTCTGCTAGAAATAAAACTAGCACAAAACTTCAAACAGCATCGAAAGTACACATGGCCATTGCCCCATGGCAAAGATGTACAGCTGAATTGCATTACCCCTTTGCTTAGGAGTAATTTACTGCTAAGGTGCAGTAAATAAATAAATTCTAGATGTTGTTGTTATATGATGAAGTGAAATACTCCTTAATCTGTGGAAAATGTGTTCTGCTTCTGTTCTTCCTTCCATTTAGAAGTAATGTTGCTCAGATGACTTTAGAAACACAAGGAGGAATGAGCATGCTTTCACCATCACATTGATTCAAGGAATTTCAAGAATTTTCTACTAGATTTTCAACTTCTTCCCTCTGTATTTATTTCGTAGTCTCTATGCATAAATTCATCTTTTTCACTTTGAAATATTTCTTTGGTCAGTTGTGTACCTTCCCTGTAACTTATAGCACAGAAGAGACGAAAATGCCTTCACTGTTCCATTAAAAGTGTTGTTGGTTTGTAGTTTTTAGCAAACTTTTTATGTCATCTGGAAGAAGCATGGGTTCTATGTATGTGGTTAATTAATGCAGAAACATGCTATGGAGTGGATTAATGAACATGTACTGCTCAGAATCCCAAGAAGCTGGGATTGAGGTAACTGAGCACCTTTACAGAGGGGTGAGTTGCATTTATCGGGTATC